ATACAAATACTTCTGCAAGGCTCATCAAAATGAGAAAAACTGAGACAAGGAAATAACAGAAATTGTCTCTCAATAACAGAACTTTTGCAATCGTTCCCATGCAACGAAACATTAGATAATTGATTAACTATAGAACAGCCTTAAACCATAACTTATGATAATACAAGCACATTTTGTGCAGCTTTCTAAGCACATCTCAAACACTACGGCGCTTTCAAAATGGTGATAAAAAGATTAACATAGCATGAGATGACCCTCAAACTAGCTTCAACTTCAAATAAGGAGAAACCCAAAACACACATGCTTTTTGAAAACACTTAACTATCTATTTCTGAAATGCCAAAAAAACAGCAGTAGGAAAACAAAAAACAAGACAGGTGCAGCTGGAATTGGTTCTTAAGCTTCACTACCCATCAAAACAATAAAGAGGGCCGGCAGAAAAGCAATTGTCAGAAAAAAAAACTATTTGATTGATTATTAAGGCCGATGTCGGCTCAAAAACTCAGTTTCATGGACCAGCATTTTGAAACCCTCCTCCTTGCTCATCTTGGACTTGAAACGTGGAAGATAAAAGTAACTACGAGGCAGGAAAAAATTCTAGTATCCCAAACAAATAAAGCAAAAAAAATCAACTGCAGTTTGCCATTCTGCTGACTCGCGGTATTTACTGTTCGAAACGAAACTAGAATCAGAAAAAGTGCCAGTTTGAACTAACTTCTTCAAAATGACAAAAAGCGTGAAATTTACACAAAATAGCACGAGAGTTGAAAATAATGTTAAATCGAATTGTTCGAAACTCGTTCACAAAGTATCCACGGAGAATATTTTTGTTAGGCAATTCTTTATAATAAGGGAAAACAAGAAGTGCACGATGAAGTAGAAGAGCAGAATGCAAATACCTTTATTTAAATGACTACTTTACTTAAACCAACAGCGGAAATTAGCGGTGTCGCGGATAAGCACGCGATTCTTTGAATTCATATGTTTTCTTGACAGGATCGGACTTTTGAAATCAAAATGGTCCATGAAATTAGATGCAACGAGCAAATCCGCAAAACGAAAAGCGAATTTGAAACAAAGTATCTGATTTTGCTTAACAAACAAACTTAACCATTTTACTTAACCAACATTTAAAAACCAACAAAGCTAGGAAAATATTTGCACAAGATTGTTTTCGGGCAAGTTGATTAAAAATACGAACTTAAATAAGAATTTCAACAACAAAAATTTCGGCCAAAATTCATGTTTACGAGGAAAACATATGACTCAGGCTTTTATCCGGGGACTGTGTGCCGCTCTATTGAATATATATGAAGTAACTTCTTTAACAAGACAAGAAAGCGTGAAATTTACACAAGATAAAAAAAGACTGATATATCGAAAAAAAAATTGACAGCTTTTCTTGCCATCTGTGTGCTGAACAAAAGTAGCGACTACAAAGTCAAATTCATCTCGGTTCAAGGCTAGGTTGTCAAAAATTTAACCAATAGCACGCCCTTGTTTTAGACTCAACAACCATGAGGATATCGATGTAATTAAGTCTTAAGTCACCTCTACCTTTTCCTACCCCTACTCCATGCTAGGTGCTGACGGCGGCTGTAATCTAGTTACCTCTACGAGACGTACTGTTGATTAACGCAAGTTAAAATCTCGTATGTACCCCAACTTGCCGGAACAAGACAGCACTAATTTTCGTTCTGGGTAAGATAATCTAAGATTTCTCGAGGCTAGATAGGTTCTCCAATTAGGTCAAAACTGCTGCAGCTATGTCGCAATGACCGTGTTAACTTGTGTAGGACTCAACGCAAAAACCAGGATAATGCAGAAACGAAAACAAAGTTGATGGAAAGCTCGAAGCAAGAGTATCTGCTGCAGTTGAAGCAGACGAACGAAGCACAGCACAGTCACTATTTCGAACAGACTTGGAACATTTTCACACGAATAGAACCCAGGACCAGCAGGCGTTAATTCATGGCTTCGCTAGCCTGCATGAAATCTATCAGGTAAGTCAACGGTACAGTTCAAGTATGATAGTCTAGTTCCTGATAGCAAGCTGAGAATTAAGGATATCACCTGAGCTTTGCCAATTCGTCGTCTCAATTAGTAATTAGTTTGGTGATTTACAGCGGAGAACATCAACAAAACACTGAATGCATCTATTGGATTGGGTGGTAATGTCGGTTCGGGTGTGTAAACCCGTTAAAAATTGAGTTCCTTGATGAAAGACCTGACATTTATCATCGTCGAACTGTGGTTGTCAATTTCTAAGACATTGTCCACAACGACCTCCATTTTGCGGTATAAAAACTTGATATAAAGACTTGGTGGTATAACAGTTTAATTTCCCTGACACCAAACCAAAGCGAGGCGAGTATTTTCATTATATCAGCTACATTTCCACTTCGCTGAGCTGTTCCTCACCTGCATTTGAGATGTCAACAGCTTTAGTAGAGTGCTTGTCATTTTTTCCGTTGAACCTACGTTCTGGGCATTTGTCAATTCTCTACATCTCACGAATTATACTCAGGAAAGTGCCAACTCTCACGTTCATTGAAATTGTGAATTGGTTGTCATCTCAACAGCCAGGTATTCCTCGCATGAACAGTCTTGATTTGTTCAGGGCGGTTGTCATTTAAAGCGTCAATTTCTCTTGCATTTGAACTATTTCCGAGAAAAATTAAATTGCCTCTGCTTTCAAAACATGAGCTGCGCCGTATAAGAGAGCTACAACTAGCAAATCAGGTATTTCATCCATTAATTAGTCTTTTTTCATCAATAAGAATTAGTTCGGAATCCAGAATGTGACTTCGTTTAGTTGTGCTTTACAAAAACGATCCTTTGAAACTGCGTTTCGATTTTCGTACCACAGATATGCAGATCATGTTCAGAGCAGACCAAAAAGTAGCTACAAGAAGAAATCTTTTTGAAAATCAAATCGAAGGTCCGCACAAAAGCTGTTTTATAGAGCATCAGTCTCAAGCTCTCCTTCTTTCTCATCCTGGAATTGAGACCAGGCAATGACGGAGTTCGAATAACCAGAGAGAGCAAAAGGTTCGAGAAAATAGTAAACAACGGAGCCACAAAAAAAGTAACTCAACAAACAAATATCTTTGAAAAACCGCAAAACTGACATTGAGAAAAAACAAGGCTTCAGCTCTATATTAGAAAACGGAACTTCAAAACTTTAAAATAGATATAAAAAAAATCATCGACGTGTAGCTGAACTTGAACATGCAAGACATTAAAAACACATTGAGAGTGAAATCTATCTGCTGAAAAACAAAAGAAATGTGCTTAAAAGATATGGCTGTGTGTGTCTTCAGGATGTCGAAAGAACGAGCAACAAAATGGGCCGTGCTCGGATGGCTTCAAAAACTCGATAAATGTCCAAACAAAAAGGGAGAAAGAGCTCCACCATTTCCTGCTGGAAGAAACTGACCAAAATGAGATTCGATTGGAATGAAACATCGAACACAAGAGAGGATAAAACATCTGGAACAGTGGGAAATTGAAAAAGGCAACGATTCCGCTTTCAACCAAACTTCGAATCCTAAACATGAAGTAAATCGGTTATCGAAAAGATAACTGAAGCGCAAATAATCATGTCAACAAAAACCAGAAACGCAGAACTCAGAAAAACAACCAGCCGAAGCTAAAGACTGCGAGACAAAATACGTTATATGCAAATTTTGTGGAAATTTGCGATCGGGAACCATCATGGCCCGACAGGTGCAAAAACTCCGCCCTGAGGATGGCATATCTTGCTGATGGATGAAAGCCTAAGAAGAATAAGAACAGCAAAGTCGAGAACTAAAACCCTACATCAAAATTGAGAGAAGACAGCAAAGCTCAAACTTCTCTTTTTGATCCTGTAACTGCTGGTATCAAACAGGACAGGGGAATAGTTGGCTTAAGCAATAAACAGAATAAAAAAGTAGTTACTCTGCGCGCTTTATTGTTCAAATCTTTTGATTTTCTCGCAATAAACCAACCAATCATTCCCTCTTATTCAATCAAATTAATCACAAATTTACTTCCTGAGAGTCAGAAAAAATTGGAAATGTTTGAGATACTAAAAAAGCATTTCAAATAGCTGAACTTTAAACAATTTTTTGAGAACATTTTGACTTTACAGTTCTTTGAAGATTTTTTCATGATAGAAACTATGTTGTGCTAAAACCAGTCGAGTTGAAAAACATTATCAATGATTTTTTATTCGCTGAAGGCCAAAAATTAAAATACAATTTCGAAATCAAATCAGTAACGCTTTTTACGCCATTTGACATTTCAAACTGGAGAGCGTAGCTAGGCATCCATTTAGCAACGGAAAAATGAAAGAACTACAAAATTCAAACCATCAAAACATGAAATTGGGCGTGAAGAACAATTTTCAGACTTTTTCTGAAGACAAAGAAAAAAATTTTAGAAAACAAACGACGTGAATACATCACATCAATGAAAGCATTTCCTTCATCAGCACCAAAAAAAAAAGAAAACACAAATGACGTGAACAAATGCACCAGTTTCATTAACACGTAATTGTACAAGGGACAAAGGCTCAGCTGAAATACTCTTAGAATGATGAAATAGGCAGTCGAGAATCCTTAAAAAAACTTTAAAAACCACTGGAACAAGAAATCAACTGCCAATTGCTTCTGTGTAGTTTGGAGATCGTTTTTTTACTCAAAACAGTTTCCTAATATTCTCAATACCTTTTTAAAATTCATTGACTGATTGTGGATTTCTGCTGACAAGTTTGTCGAACCACTGCAGCTTAAACTACTATTCATATCACTCTCTCAAATACCCTAAATATCAATCAGATACTCAACATGCGTGAAATGAAATCGCCATTTGTTCTGATCTATGAACGCGAGGTTGAACTTTGTTTTGAGCTGTCATGTACACGCAAATTCGAATATCTCAAGTCAAGATAGACAGAAAGTTAAAGATGGTCTCCCTAATTTAAAAAAAAATTTAAAAGCTGAAACTATACTGACCATGTCTGCATTCACTGGTGTCCAAGGTGTTGTCTCCTACTTCTCAGCATCTTTGTCACAACAGAAATCGTCGCGTCTTAGCAGTTTATCCGTTATCCAGAAAAATCTATAAAAAAACATAGTTTCACCGTCACTCTTAACATATCCCAGTTGTTTAATCCTTTTGTTTCACCCCTGATGTGGATTAATGTAGATTAAAAGTCCATTTTGATATATTTGTTCGGTTCAGCTGTACGATCTTCATGATATTTGCATGCTATTAATTACCTAAACTAATTTTCTCTAAAAAATTTTTTATATGAATCTAAAGTATACAAGTATACTCCTGAAAAAAATCATATCTCCCTAAATCGATTGGGGGGGGGGGGGGGGGTAATGTAAGGTTGATCCATTTGTTCCGCTTAATTGAGTTTTTTTTTTATTCTTTTGAGAAAACAGGGAAAATGTGGCTCATAACAACAGATTAAGGCTTTTTTCCAGTTTCCTACCCCCTCGTAAAATTACAAAAAATAGCCGTTCAAAAATTGTTCACACGGAATTTTACATGCAATGTTGTAAAAATTAAAAATTTGTTCACCTGTTCACACTGACCCATTTTAATGCAGTTTATAACATGAAAAGTAATTTCAAGTAGACTTTCATATAATGAATTTCAGATAAAATCAAGGGGCGACTGGAAAAGAGCCTAAATTAAAAAGTCGTGATAAAAAAAAACAAAGCCAACAGACAGTTGGAAAACAGTCAATGCACCAAAGTGAACAAAAAAAACTGGCTTTCGAACTTCAAGAACAAAGAGATGGCCTTAAACTTCTTTGATTTTCTAGAACAATTTTTTTGTTCTAGAATTTCTTAGTTCTAGGACATTTTTTTGATAAAATAAACTAAATTTGAGAAAACTGGCTCAATAAGTTGAATTTTCCATTTGACTGAGAAATCTGAAAATTAGATCCCACTTTTGAAATTGGAATCGATCACGTTTCTCCTGAACTTTACACTTTAGCTGTTCGATAGTGGAATTTTCCTTCCTTTTAACAATGGAAATGAACTGAATATAAACAGAAATCAAAAGTAAAACCGCGAAAAAATAAATTTGAGCCCGAGCTAATTTTGATTTTTCCTGAAAAAAAACCGAAAAAAAATCATCGCGACCTTTATAAGAGTCTGAATTACGTTCGACTTTTACAAAAAATGAAAATTTATGGGAGTACTTTTGTCATTAACGTACGTATAAGCAGGGGCGGATTTAAGATTTACTCGAGGGGGATTTTTTTAGCTGAACCAAATTGATTTCTGAGCAATCCCAGAACACTATACGGACCCTTTTTGACCAAAAAAAAATTGAGTGCCAGAAAAAACATGTCACAAATGCCGTTGCTTTGGTTGGACCCTTTGGTTGGTGAGGGGGTCAAACCCCTTAGGGGGGAGGGGAGGACGCGTCCGCTACCGTACCTAAATCCGCCCCCGGGGTATAAGGAATTCTGCGCTTCATTCAAAACAATTTGTTTTCATGTAATTTATGGCAAATTTTCCTCACAGCAAAAACACAAGATGTTGACTCTGCTTCAGTCAGCCAGGTTGTAATGTTTAAATTCATTCCAGTTAAGACGATAATCATCGCAAATCTGAAAAATTTATGTCATTTCAACTTCATTTATGCTTTCAATACATCTTTATTTGAATTTGAAGGACAACTGGAAGCCTTTTGACCAATTGTTGTTGTTGTAAGTACAGCTGAAAAAGGTTATTGAAACAGGTGACACAATGTACTGTTCTGATTACACTAGAAAACACTTGTCTTATATTAAGAGCTCTATTTTAGTCCAAACTTTAGTCAAAACCTTTGAGCTGAATTTTTTGTTCAGTACTTGTTTCCACGACTCTCGAAAATTGAAATAGAAATATGGCTTATTATCTGATCTTTGAAATTTTTAGAGCCTTTTTAGACACTTTTTTATTCGAATATCGGATATTATGGGATGGCAACTTTTTAGAAAACGATAATCCAACTGCTCGCGAAAACCGGATCGATTGTTTACACAGAGGCGAAGCTGAGATTGGTAACTCTGAAACAAGTTAACGCTGAAAATTCCAGATCTACCAGCATCTAAAAATCTTTCACTCGACTTGCCTCAAATAAAATTCACGTAACGGAAAAACGTGCCAATTAAGACAATGGAGTGTTAAATTAGCATCGAAACAAACCTTATTGAGCTATAACAAAGCCACGATTCTTGAGCAGACATCCCTTGAGCCGAGAAAAAATTGTTTCATAAAAAGTTTCAAGCCCTCTCCCAAAGGACAAAGCATCAAAAAATTATGTTGCAACAAAGTTGATAAGATCGAAGCGAAAAAGTTTCGAGCCGAACAAACAAAAACCAAAGAAAAGCTACCAAAAAAGGGAAAATGTAACGAGTCGGAATTGATAATTTTAGAACCAACATAAAAATAATTTTCGAATAGAACGGGTCCTGATACTGCAGACACGTCACAAATGTGTTTATCGGTTGACGAAAGTACTGATTTGAAAAAATGATTCAAGTAGTCTGTTTGACCAGTTGTCTACCATGAAAAAAGACTATGCTCAGATTTGATAACCATCGCTCATCGTTCGCCAGCATGTTAATTCTTAAAACACATAAGTGAAGTTGCACTTCGCATACGAAAGCGAAAAAACGCCTAGAAGTTGCTTTAAAAGGTTAAAAACTATATAGTAAATTTTGAAAAATAAGTTCTCTATACGGATATCGATGCACCAGCAGCAAGACGGATTCCCTACACAGCAGGTCCACTGAAGCTTACAGAACCGAAACACTAGCCACTAGTAAAGCGGAGAACGCATGCTGAACTTGCAAAAACTATGTAGCAAAAGTACCACCAAAAGGATAACTTTTTTGGCAAGTTGGATTGAAAAAAAAGTGGATTCGCATGTAGGCTTGTGTAGAAAAAATAAGTAAGCTCAGAATAAAAAAAACGTTCACTATTTTACTTCGACTTTGAAGTGGTTCTTTGTCGTTTTCGCCTTAAAACGTGTATCCATTTTGTGTTACAGTTTTTTGATAAAATTAACCAAATTTGACAAAAATGGATCAATAGCTCAATTCCACTTTCGAAAATAGAAGTCGATCACCTTTTTGGGAACCTTTTTACTTCTGCTAAATTTTATCAAAATAAGTGTCAGTCATAAATTGTTCTTGATATTTTAATTACCTTAAGGCTATCTATTTCTTAGAAAATCGAAAGTTGATTTTTAAAAAACCATTCAGTTTTTTTCTAATTACTTCGATAGCGGAGTTTACTTTCCTTTCAGCAAAAGACATGAAGTGAGCTTAAAGCGAAATCAGAGTCAAACCGCAGCAAAAAAAATCAAATTTGAGCCCAAACAAATTTCAAGAATTTTTCGTAAAAAAAACATCACGGCTACGTTTCGACTTTTTAATTACATCACATGCCCTATAAAAGATCTTACTTCTTATAAAGTCATGTAATTATTCCGCTGCCATTTCTAAGAAAGTTAAATTTAACAAATATATGATTCGTTTTGGCGCTATTTTATTTTCATTTAAACGTCAGTTTGCAACACTTCATACAAATGAAATTCACACCAAAGAATAGTTAGTGTTTTTTGCAATGTTTTACAGGTTTTTTCATATTTTGGTCCAAAAAAGGCGGTTGCTGCTTCAAACAGCGGGTTAGTTACGCGGTGTCTGCATATTTATTGAAGATGTAGTTGGTGGTGTTATCTAGAAAAATTCCTTGTTGACTATTTGACCTTTCAGCTCAAGAAAACAATTGTTGAATATATCTGATCAAATTCAATTGTGGAAAGGATATACAACTTAAATGGGTACAGCATAGACTTTGGAGTGAAGAAATTGAAATTCAGTTCATTATTTTAGAAATATTTGGACAACAAAAAGACGACACCTATTGACTAATTTATAATCAAATTCAGGCTAGCACCTCTCCTCAGAGTTCGAATTGCGCAAGAACAAAAAAATCTACGTGAATATAGAACAAAGCTACGTCGCCAAGTTACGGTCTAAGACTAACACAACACTAAGCAGAAACGCAAAACTAAACTGTATGAAAATCAAGAAAACGAAGAAAATAATTTTAAAAAAATGGCCTAAATCTTGCTTGAAACTTCCGAAATGTGCATTCCGCTTGATAAATTACTAATTATTCTACCATTAGCATTTACATTAAGTCGGATAACAATATTAAATACTCTCGTTCCCAGGCTGCTTAGTTCTAGCTTTTGCTTTCTACTTATGAGTGGGACTACTATTGTTTCCATTAACCACGAATCCGTGATTGTGTGGAGTTGTGGGGGGCAAGAGACTATTTTGCATGTTGGTAAGTGTCCTCTGCAACGCTGTGTTTTCTTGCAAGGCTTCGTCCAGTTGTCTTCTGACAAATTGTAACTGTTGTTCCAAATCAGTGTTGCGAGTCACTAGCTCTCGCTCTCTGATGACAACCGACTCTGACAAAGAGTTTAGTCTTCTATCTGGTTCTATGGGCTCTAAACATCAGTCAATTCATTATTCAGTTTCTAAACTGGGATCGTATTGCCAGATATTAATTGAAATAATTTGTACTATACATGGATGTACTTCTATGGTCAACTAAAATGGTTGAGAGTTAGGCAATATCAGTTTTAACGGCCTAATTTTTATGATTTAAGCAATTTTAAACTTCGCTTAACTTGCCTTATTTCATTCAACTGTCACGTAGAGATACCGATAACAGATCGACTAAATTTCGTTTGGACGGAATTAGCTACTCGAAACATCATACACAAAGGCGAAGCTGCTTTACGCAAACGCAAGCGATAAAATTCCATGAAAGAGCTTAAAAAGTAAAGACAGATTTTGAAATAGACACTTGCGAGAACACGACCAAAAGCAGCTCTATCAAAACAAATAAGAAAAAGTAGAAAGAAGCCTAGAATTAGCAAAAACTCGGCTACGTGTAGGATTCGAATCTGCGACCTACTGCAATCAAGAGATTTTGAGTCTCACGAACTATCCACATAGCCACGCAAGCTTAACGACCGACAAACACTAGTCACTAATAAAGCAGCTACAAATGCTAATAACTTGCCAATGCCATTAAGCAAAAGTGGCACCAAATAGACTCAATTTTGCATGTAATAATTTGGAAAATAATAAATTGAAGGCATCCACCATAACTTTGCATGTGACAAATTGCAAAGCATAAAACCACATTATGTATAAATTATTCATTTCAAAAAAAATTGCGAGCTATATTGAGTTAGAAAACTTCTGAGCATGCATCAGCTGTGTTAACTTATAACTATTCGAATGTCAAAGCCCATGCTATCAAAAAGCTGTACAGGTGCCCACCATTATTGGGGTGCCGCACCAATATTTGCGTTTTAGGTTTGTAGGAAAAAAAGAAGGTTCGCAAGTGTAAATAAAACATGGCAACAGACAGTTGTAAAGGAGTCAATGAAAGCAAGAGAATTAAAAAATACTGATTTATGTTACGCCAAAAAAATAAACTTTCGAAATTGGAAGAAAATAAATGTCCTGAAATTTCTTCGGATTGTAACTTTTTTTGATAAACTTAACCCAACTTCAGAGAACTGGATCAGTAGATAATCTTTTTACTACGCTAAAAAAATCTTAACTTTAAAATCAATTTCGATACTAGTAGTCATCCACGTTTATCGTGACTTTTACTTTTTCAAGAGATTTTTAATTTTCATTAGAGAAAATTACATTCCTTCTGACAAAAAAAAACAAACTGAAATTTGAAAAGAGATAAAAAGTCAAATCGCAAAAAAACACAAATTTGAGCTTTTTGAGCGTGAATATATTCTAATACTTTTTCCGCAAAAAACCATCACAACCAATTAAAGTGTTTTGTCTTCACTGCGATAATAAATACTTGAAAACCTAGCCAACAGACATTTGGAAGAGTCAATGAACGAAATTGAACGGAAACAAAATGCTGTCTGTTTTTTGAACAATCTTTTCAAAAACTTTCGAATTTCAATGAACAAAAGATGCCCATGAAGAAACAATTTATGAATAGCACTTTTTTCATAGAAACAACCCAATTTGAAAAAAAAACTGGATCAATAGCTATAATTTTTATTTCGCTGGAAGATCTGAAAAATAAATTCCATTTTCGAAAAAAGAAGTCGATCACAATATTGATGGCCTGCATACCTTTGCTGTTCGAAAGTGTCAATTGTATTTGGAAAAGTTTCATCTGCATTTGCAGGAAATTGAGCACTACTTTATGAGACTTCGTATGAAAAAAAATGGAGACTTCCTTTTATTTCAACTTTTTGCAATCAGACCAAAATCACAATTTCAAAAAACTGAAGACCAATCTTTATTCAATGTTTTCTTCTAAAAAAAAGAAAAATACAATGCAATAAAAAATTTCGAAAAACTTGTCCAAAAAACCGTATTTGAAGTTGAAGCAATTTTCACAAAAATTGAAGTTTCTTTTGACGTATTTGTGTAATGTTGCGGGTAATTGAAATCCAAGAATATATTTTTAAGAAACTGAAAGTTTTTGATACGATTCCAGGAATTACATGAATACCTCAAAGGGAAGTTCATTTTTTATGCTAATTGCTTAAATTATAAGCATAAATTCGGTGCTGTAGCAAATAAGCCAAAAAAAAACAGCCAATCGAAGATTGCGAAAGAGTAATGAACGCAAGTAAACATAAACAAAACACTGACTTTTTGAAAAAATCGCAAGTTTCGAACTTCCAAGAAAAAAATAGATGCCCTATAATTTCTTTGAATTTCTAGACCGATATATGATAGGAGCCTTTTTGATAACATTAACTCAACTAGAGAAAAATGGATCAATAGGTAGTTTTTATTCCGCTGGAAATCCAAAAATTGAATTCCATTTTCAAAACTAATTGGAGAGTGCTATTTACGTCACTTTCAGCAGATGAGTTTCAACAGAATTCAAAATATGCATACATACATAAAAGCATTCATAAATGCATCAATATATACGAATGCACATCTGTAGTTATTAGAGACTTTTATGCACATTTTAAGACTTTTTCCTGAAAAAAAATCAGCAAGACCTATTTAAGAAACTTCGCTACGTTCATCACTCCTAATAGAGTCCGACCATTATTTTTTTAAGTGGAACTGTTTTAGTTGTCAAGAAAACAGGCCCTGTCCGGATTCAAACTCTCGGCCTTTGACAGTGCTAAATATGATACTTTCAGACTAAACATGCAGCATCAGACCCAAAATTTTTATTTATCCTGAACGAAGCAATCAAATGATTCAGTTATATGTTAAGCCAGCTGTTTACGAGAAAAAATTTGCAGAGCGATTTAATGAAGCTTGTTAATAACACGCGTGAAAACAATAATACTCACGTATTCCCAAATTCATCACGTTGTCGCCATCTCGTAACAATGTCAGTCCATGAAGCTTTAGGTTGAGCGGAACTGGAGGCGGACTGGTAAGCGGGTTGCTCGGCGGCCCATCTTGGGCAATATTAATCTCACTCTCAGTTGCAACCAAGTCTAGGGGAGGGACCGGCAAAATCAACTCGTCTTCAATCAAATCAATCATTGCAAGTACATTTGTCATCTTCAAACCCAGTTTCAGCTTCTGGATATTGACTGCAAGGTGCCCTCGTTGCTCACAAACACCTCCGTAGAGCTCCTTGGACACCACTCCTGGTGAGTCTATTCTTGCTTCAATTAGAGGCATGGCTGGTTTCGCAGGTACCAACTGCGAGTGTGATTCAATCGCGGAAGCGTATTCACGATCATCTAAATCACACCACATCATCAACAGCTCGCTGCATTTCTAAAATTACATGTCTCCATAGTCTTCTTGTATGCACACGAACACCATGAAATTTTTGAGAGCCAGTAAAAGTTACACAGAGGCCAAGCTGCAGTTATGCACCACTTGCTATAGAACAAGTAATTGATAAAAGCAGTACGACGCTGAAAAAGGAGCAAAAATGACTTCGAGTGAAGAACAAATTGAAAGAAGAACGAGATTTTTCATGATCGGGTATTTGTGGTTTGATTTTGAGCATTAGAAAAAATGGATCCAGAGTCTTATCGATCTTAAGAATAAAACCGGTATCTTTTCGGAAACAAAATATTAGGAAGAAAATCCGATATAGTGCCCACTAGTGCTTTATATGTAGTGAGTGCAAAATGGTATACCCAATTTGGAAACAAAACCGAGTTTAAGTCGACAAACATAATGCAGAAAACTTGCGATACAACACGAAAAAAGCACAAACTAATGAACCAAACCTAAAACGAGAGTCAAATAAACAAAATTTGTAACAATGTCATAGTGTCGAGAAAAGGTAGATCTTACCACGTTTTCATATCTCTTTATCGATTTGTCTGGAAAAAATCATCAGAAAAGAAAATTAATAAATAAGACAACTGAATGTTAAACTTACGTAGCGACAAAACGCCGAAAATGCTAACTATGAGAATAAAAATCGCATGCTTAATATTTTCGAGCTCATTAATCGACAAAGCAAAAAAAACTCGACAAAATTTCTGATAAAAAAATTGCAACTCAATTACTTCCACTTATGGCATTCCAAAAAATAGAAGCATTCCAAACAATTTTCTAGTTAAAAAAGGTACCGGCTGGGTTCAAACCACAACACGAGCCTTTGTCATCTCAAGCATATGTGTTACCTCTACGCCAGATGTGCTGTATATTTGCTGTACTTTGAATGTAATTTAGTAAACGAACTAACGAGCGGATAATTGAATTTCAAAAAGAAAACAAAAAAAAAGTTATTTTTTCAAAAACTTTTTGATAACTTTTCAAGTTTTACGGAGGGCTTCAGAGGGTGATTTAGATTTTCTGAAAATGTAATCGTTACAAGACCAACAAAAAGTAATATAATCAAAACAGTAGGAAAATAAGCAAAAAGTACCAAAAAACTTCGAATCGATAAAAATTGATTTGTTGGCAAAGCTAATTTGTTGACAAAGCGACAATTAACTCCAGAAGACTAAAAAATTATATCGCCTTACAGCCATTTGAATTTTTGCAGATTATCGACAAATTTTCTTCGAACTAAGAAAAAAATTGACATTTTTTCAAATCAAAATAAACCAATTTGAGATAACTGGACCAGTAGGTAATTTTTTTCTTCCACTGAAAACCTAAAAAACCAACAGTCATTTTCGAAACTAAAAGTCGTCAAGTTTTTTGTGACCTGTAAAATTTTGATGTTTTGTAGTGGAAATTGTCTTCGCTTAACAGAGAAAATCAACTGAGCTTGGAAAAAATCAAAGTCAAACCGCGAAAAAAAAACGAAAAAACAAATCATCGCGGCCAATATAGAGTCTGAACAAAATAAGACTCTTAAAAATTGATATTAGGTAAGACATGTTATTAAAATCAACCTTAACTTAGGACGTCCATAATATCTAGATGGTATAGAAAATTCGGACACAAGTGTGTTGAAAACAAAAACAAAGCCAACACACAGTTGGAAAAGAGTCAGTATAAAATATAAAATTCTAATTTTTTTTTAGTATCCCAACTTTCGAAATTCAAAAAACAACTGGCATATAAGTTCTTTCAACTTCTAGATTAATTTTTGATCAACACTTTTATAATAAAGATCAACCAGTTTGAGATAACTGGATCAAAAAGTTTTTTTTATTTTGTCGCGGAACTCTGAAAACTAAATTCCACTTTCGAAACTAGATTTTTTTCTTACTTTTACACTTTTGCTGATCGATAGTTAAACTGCCTTCCTTTTTGAACTAAAAATCAAAACTCAAAGAGCGAAAAAATAAATTTGAGCCTGAACACATAAAACTTTTCCTGAAAAAGACAAAAAAAATCATCACGACATACAAAAGAGTCTGAACTACGTTCATCGACTCTTAAAACATTGCCAACAGACTGCAGGAAAAAGTTAAGAACGCACGTAAACAAGAAAACACAAGACTTCTTTTCTTGAAAACATCAACTTTCGAATATAAAGAAAAAAACTTGTATGACCTTAGAGCTCAATTTTAAGGGCAATTTATGAGTAGCACTTTTTTTGAAAAATCAACTAAATTTGAGAAAACTGGATCAAAAAGTTATTTAATTACGATATAAGGTACAGGGTCACAAATGACTATACAGTTAGTTACCTATCTGCGTGTTTTGCATAGGTTCATTGACACTCAAAAAACAAAAAATAAAAGAAAACTCACATTTAGCATTCGTCGTGAGGAACTTAGAAAATGTAGTGTTCGGGTGGTCTTCAATGTCTAGAGCTGGAAGGGCCACATGAACCACAGATGATCCACTGTCTCCCAATAACTGAACAGAAGCCTCTACTCCCTGCATACGAGCAACCATTATAGTCACCTAAAATACAACACTCACAAAGCAACTATGTAATTTGCAATCCCTCAATCTACACTGCATTATTTTCTGCATTTTACTTAATTCACAGATATATTGTAATAATAGTCACTCTTCTCTATCTAAATTAGAGAAATATTCTATCAGGACATTACAAAACTAACCGGCATATCATTACGTTCTTCTCCTAAGAACTCTTCGTCGGGTTTGTACGTATTGAGTGGCTTGAGCTCTTGGTCATAATCCACAACTTTTGGACCAACATTCGTCGCCTTGCTTAGTGACCCTCCCTCTGCAGATAGGCAAATGAAATCATCTTCGCTGGAATATCCTCCGGATCCTATTGAGAATTCAGATCCAGTTATTGACATAGTGTCTGTAAATGTCTTTCCCATTAAGGATCCCGCACTTGAAAACTTTGCAGAAAGGTTTCCAGCAGCGGATGATAAGCTCGACAAGGTTACCTTGTTGCCACCAACCGACCCCTTTACGGATGAAGTCGTTGAGTAGCCAGAAGAAGAGTTATTCGCCATCGGGCGTTCTGATCCAGACATGCTTTTGCGAAACACTGGCTGCTCGGTCGAATCACTGTTGCTAGCAAATGTAGCTCCGCTATCTTGCGTGTGTATTGTGATTACAGGAAGCGATGTGATTTGTTCGGAGCAAATGTTTGGAGGAGCATTGACAAGTGATTCTGCATCTTCCGAGTTCACGTCCGACATTTTTTGATCTCCTCCGCCTGTTGTTGAACAAGCCTCGAATTCCTCGTCGTTCGCAGCAGCTAAATGATGTTTCGAGTTCGATAGTTCTGACTCGGATTTGATTTCTACTGCTTCAATATTCAGGTTGCTAGACTCTGCTGCAACGAACTCGTGAGTAGCCGAGAGCAAGAGCGATCTTCGACTTGCTATAACATCGGCTGATTCTGGCTGAGGAGGCAGTAAAAACACAATGTCTAAGCTCGGGAAAATACCAATGAAAGAAAGTTTCATTTCTTTATGACCAGGTTGCTGTGCCAATTGATCTCCAAGTATAAGTTTCGTATCTTGCTCCATAATTTCTAAAGTTTTCAAAACCATTTCTTGTAGTCTCATCAAAACAATAAACTGATAATGGTCCAAGTACAATGTGACTCTCTTTTTAGATGTAAACATGATCTGAATTAATGGATCCGATCGTTCGGTATATTCTGCATCTAATGGATGTGGTATTGAAGTGTAGTTTGTAGAACTGCTGAGGCTGCTCTTTTTGCAACCTTTCAGAAGATCAGGAGTCACTTGGTTGACATTAGGTGGCACTTGTTCGTTGTTGTTTAAGTTATTGTTGGCCGTTAAACTATTACCCACCTGTCCATGCCAAGATCCATTTGAAAATGAGCTCCGAGAATTTCTTTCACTAGTTTGGCTGGCAAGCGAATTCCCGATTTGTACCAGTTTTTGTAATTGTGGGTACGAAACGAACATCGAAAAACTGACCGGGTCAACTAGAGGCAGTCGACCCAGCTTGGTGGTTTTGATTCCAAACCAATCGCTCCAAGCTTGATCAATGTCTATTACAACGGTGTCCAGGAACCCAGGGTATCTCATCATGTTGGCTCCTTTGCAGCTCGCTGGCTTGATCGTCGAGGGAAAATACTCGTGAAAATTTGTGTCCAGTTCTGTAAAAAAAACAATCATTCATAGAATTGGCGATTTATCCGAAATAAATAGCAAAACTGAAATTACCAAGCGGGTGTATTTTGAAGCTTGTCTTCTTATCTGCTGCGTAAGTTTCACATATATCTCCCAGCAACTTCCCTCGCTCGACTTTGCTTCTATCGTGCACATTTGTCATCGAGGCAGACGAAAGAGCAATCTCGATTCCCCTCGGTCTGTCCGGTTGGTCTTCGGGATGTTTCTCCAATGTTAATTTAATCTAGAAAAAAAAAGCATTTAAAAAATAAATGATTTCCAGCTGATAACCAAATCTATTTTTCCCACGAATGCCAACCTGAGGCATCAAAAAGTCAGCTTTCAGATCAACGTGCATCACGGTTTCCGTCGAAGATCCTTCTGGCATTTGCTGAAAACAACCAACATTGACTTAGCAGCTCAAATAGTTTGCTAGCCTAAAATATATTAAAATAAAAACAAAGTACAGGCCATTGTAACTAAATAATCAGATCAGATCAGATCAGAACAGAATTCTTATAAATTTTTTCCGAATCACTATAATTTTAATTGAATTTTCATTTGAACCAAAACCATTTTTTGAAGCCGAATTTTGAAACTATTTAAATTAAATTTAATAGAAATCAAGGATAGACGGTTGCTATGCAAGTAACAAAAACGTCTATATGCTGAATATCTAGTTCATTCATTCATAATTCTTGAAAAAAAAATCTCGGACTTTTCCGCAAATTTTTTTGCCGTTTTTTTCGAAGAGAGCAGGGTGAGACGTTGACTTCAGCTGCCCCAAGATTTAGCCAACGTTAATGGCGCTTTTAGTTGATCTAATAAAAAATAACGCATATTGACTCTTCGCTTAAGTTAGTCGATGAAGCCAAAGCTTCAAACCGCTTTATCTGGACAGTCACTTTTCGGGAATTTTCAATTGTAGCTCAAATCGCAAATCGGAGTTGAAAGGGGTTTTCTACACGAAGCGTAGCGATTTGCACCACTTGCAATACAACACTAAACAAAATAAAAAACATAAAAAGCCGAAAATTTTTGAAAAAAACTAGGTCATACTTTCATATGTCTCGATAGAAGTTCATTCCAGGCAACATGTCAGACACTTGAATTTTAAATCAACAACAAAGAACAAAACCTACGAAAAGAAACAAAGCCGACAATCTTTGAGCAGCCACAAGTTGAGTCGAAAAAATATGATTTTATAAAAAAAAATTTGAAGTCCCACCTTAAACAACAATGGACAACAATTGCACTTGCAACTACATTGATTTGTTTACAGCACAAGAAAAATCAGTCATGTGGCAACTAAGCCAACAACCTTTGAGATAAAAACCACTTGGACCGAAAAAAAATGATTTCTTTTTAATCTTTCAAGTCCCCTTGAAACTAGAATGAACAACATTTGCACTTGCAACTACAAGGAAAATTGTCTACAGGACAAGCAAAATCAGTTGTGGCAATTTAGCCGACAAAACCTGAGTGAACAAACGAACAACCAATCATTCATTTTTCTCGGATTTTTTTTCAATTTCCTTGATCAGAAAAAAACCAGATCCGGCCACGACTCGAACCCCAGACCTTAGGGTACAAACTGTTTTGTCTTCAGGCCAAGGGGGAAGCAACCCGGAACATGTAAAGAGAAGGTAAGAAGAAAAGTGAAGATAAGAAGAGACGTGAAAAGAAGTGATTTACTAGTTGTTAACACGGAAAAATGTCTATATTCCAGTTTGATAACGCTTGCCAATCGCAAGCGTAAAAATAGGTCACTCAACTTGGGGTGACATGAATTTGCGTAGAAAAAACACGTAAATCCAAATTTAATTCCCATTTCGTCGATGGAACAACTGTAAAAAAAACTTTTTAGATTGCCTCGTAAAATTTTTTTAAAACCTTCATGTCGTGGGTAGTGCTAAGAAACGCAAAACGGGATAAATTGCGCAAGAAATTGAATATTCAATTTATACATTCAGACTTAGAACCTAAAAAACAGGATTTAAAAACATTTAATTAGAAATCAGATCGATTTACCTTTCTCTGCTAAAACAACGAAGATGTTGTTGAAATTAAACCATTTGAAGAAATCACCGTTTTGAAAAAGTTCATATGTCGAGCAACCGATAAACAACAATACGTTTACCAAATAGCAACCGTATTTAAAAAATTAAATCAGCTTAAATTTAATCTAGCGAAAAATCAGGAACATAGCAAACATACAGTTTTTTTTTCTTGAAGTCAATTGACAAAAATTCGTTTAAAATCAATTTTCATGCTCTAAACTGAGATAAATTGTGTCAGCGTGAACAAACTTTCATATCATTTCTTAAATGCGAACTTTCCGAAGGGGCGGGAAACTAGACAAGCGCCAAAAAGAGGCCTTAAAATTCTTTGAATTTCAAGATTAAATAATATTTGACTTTTTTTAAACAAAATTAATTCAATTTGAGAAAACTGGATCAATTGGTAAAAATTTTATTCCGCTGGGAAATCTGAAAATTAAAATCCACTTTGGAAAAAATTGGATCATGTTTTTCGTGAGTTTTATATTTTCGCTGTTCGATAGTTAAGTTTGCCTTCCTTTTAACAAAGGAAATGATCTCAACTTGAAAAGAAGTCTTAAGTTTGATGGGGAAAAATTTAATTTGATCATGAAAAAATTTAAGCTTTTCCTGAAAACCCTTATCATATAAGAGTCTTCACTGCGTTCGAGACGGATGACAGAAAAACGACTGATACATTTTGACCAGTTTCAGCTTTCGAATTCCATCGGAAAATTTACATCTGCAGAAATTTAAGAAACTTTACTTTTATCAGAGACAAATTGATGATATAACTATCCCGACTTGAGCAAACAGCACATAGCTAAATTGTTGATTCCCCTTCATGTTTAGAAACTTAAAATGCATTCTAAAATCTAAGCTCAGCTTGAAGTGCGATTTTCACTTCATTTTCAAATTCAAAAACACTAATACTAAAAACACGACTGCACTGCTCTTTTATCAGGACAAAGCCGTGAATGGTCCCATTGCCATTCAAGTAGTCTCAAATAGTTTTGGCAAAGAAAAATTTAGTCAGTTTTTCTCCCCAACAATCAAAAGTGAATATTAAGTATTAAACTTTAAAGAGTATAGTGATATATTAATATAATCAATTAGCGACACTCAACTCAATTTGGAACTATTTTATAGCGAGATAACTGGCCAATTATAAAATCGGTCAAATTACTGGTCCAATCTATGCGCAGGATTCTCATTACCAGTTATAATGTCTCTAGTTTTGTCCAAATTTCTCGTAAAAGCTCCCAAAAAATTTTAACGTTTGAGTCGTCAAAACAGATACTGACTTTTTTTTTATTGTTTCAATTTCTTTTTCTGTCCTTTTTCGGCGGCGCGAGTAAGTCAAGCTCATCGGTTTCCAAATAAATCAATTTGAGCCCTTAAGTTCAAATTCCTCATTTTGTTTGCGAGGATGTTTACACAGCAAGAAATCCTCTAAAAGTAGTTATGAAATACTGGTTAATTTACGCCTCCGAAAAAACAATTTCAAATTTTGACTGAGATGAGTTGTTTCAAATATTTTCATCTAGCATTTGCAAAATTCAACCCTATATCTTAAATAGTTGCAGAGATATGGGCAAAAACATGAAGAAAGAAATCGCTCATTCGCTCATTAAAATCAAAAAGTTGCAATTTATATGTCCAGTGACTGTATTTTACATTACCTTATATTAGTTTTTATAACTTTGCTTTAACATAGATGTTTACTTTACGCGAATTATCATTTTTTAAATTAATTTTTGTTTTCTATAAGATTTTCGTTTTTAAAATGTTTTATCTGCTCGTTAAACCCAGACAACAGACAGTAGGAAACGAGTGAATGAATGCAAGTAAACATGTTAAAAAATACTGACTTGTTCTTTGACCAAATCTCAACTTTCAATTTCGAAAAAAAATGGACAATCTTAAAGCTCTTTGAACTTCTAGAACAGTTTATGATTGACAACTTTTCAATAAAACTAACCCAACTTGAGAAAGCTGGATCACTAGATTAAACATTTATTTCGCTGGGTAATCTGATAAATTAATTCCATTTTCGACATAAAAAGTCGATCACGTTTTTCGTGACCTTTACCTTTTGCTGTTCGATAGTTGAGTGCGCCTTCCTTTTAACAAAAGAAATGAACTGAACTGAACTGAAAAGGAAATCAAAAGCCAACCAAACCACGAAAAACTAAATTGAACATGAACAGACTTTAAGACTTTTCCTGAAAAAAAATTATAACGACCTATATAAGAGTCTGAACTACGTTCATCGACTTTTAATCAAAAACTCGGAACTTATATGTCCCGTGACTGTAAAAAAAAATATGACGTGATGCAATTAACGCCGAGTAGTGTAACAATAAGTCCAAATAGCTTGCCTTAAAGTCCATTTGAAATGCTTTCTAACCCGGGAGAAATACTCGATTACGCGTTAATAGTATAAAATATATCGCGCATTAATTGTTTACAAATAATCAAATTGGCAATTTTCAAAACCCTATAACTTAAGTAAATTTTGAGCTGAGCTTAGGACCTCTGTTCAGATGGTATAGAAAAAAACTCATTTCGAAAGTGGCTGGTTAAAAAGTCTTAATTTGTCTTAAAAAACCACAATGGGCACAAATAGTCCATCCGTTCTTCGCAAGTCGCAACAATAAATATCTTCGATACATTATTCGCGATATCACAATGAACGTCTGTTTCAATTTTTCGAACTAAAGTTTCCTGCTTCTCATTTATATGTATTAGTTTGAACATTATATTGTAAATTAGATTCACAAATACCAAATAAACCGTTGGCACACAAAATCAGAGAACAATAAAGAAATTTTTCTTCTTTTCACTTGGGGAGAGGCCAGGACAATAAATAGTTCACTCAAAAGGACAATCATCTGCTATCCTGATTGGGACAGGGTGAAACTGTTTCTGATACCATGAAAAATTCAACTACACTTGGTAAACCCACCCATCTGCCAAACTCAGCACAAAATATATAGTTGCAAACAAAAACATGAAAGGATACTGCAAAACAGGCTAACTAAATGCCGCGCTAGTCTCACGCAGGCTTATAAAAGCTGAATTCACAAATGAGTTCGCAGACGCAGACTCGACTAATTCTGGGCTAGCTAGCTCTACCGGCTGCCTACCTGATATGGCTGTACTCCCACTCTTTCTAAGTCCTTCAAACAACAAGGTAAGTTCAAACTGTAAAAATTGAAAAACTGTAAGTTCAAACGTTCAAGTTCAAGAATTCATATAAAAATGAAGTTCTGTGTCCGTTTTTTTCTAGAATTTATATGATAAAAATGAAGCTCTGTGTCTGTTTTTTCTAGAATTTATATGATAAAAATGAAGTTCTGTGTCAGTTTTGTCTTTACAATGAATAGAATGTGAACATACCACACTTTTGGAGACTCTTTTTGCAAATGCATTCAGCCATATGAGAGTGTTCGGGTCGAAGTCAACACAAAATGGGTTGAACTTCACGTGCAAATTGGCTTGAGGTACTGAAACAGCAACAAATCAATATAATTTGCTGCATTTTAAAGAAAACGGTGTTGTACCTTTCGTTTTGACTCTTTCTTCACAGCGGGGCATGCATTTAAGATAATACATATAGTCATTTGGACTTTTTTCAGAAAAATATAATGCAACAACCTTTTAATCTTAATTTGGCACTCTTCAAAAGACCGGTCTTTTTATGAAAAAAAACTTCGTTCTATAGCACACATTGCAGAAAAGTCATGTGATCTTCTTACATGGCAGTTGTTGGATTTCGGACTGTAGGGAATGAACAGCGGCTGACACCTCTGTCCTCTTCCTGCCCCCACTGCTAGGCGGACCCTTGGCACCGGATCCCCCTGGCTGGGGCTGTGTGACTATACTGGGCGAGGCATAAGTGAAGTAGTAGTCTGTGTAAATGGCCAGTAGCGATGGCACGTCTGCTGGAATGTGGAAGGTGCTCTTGTCACTGTAGATCAATTTGCCGTTCATCACTTCTGAGCCACTAGTCTTGTTGCTGGTCACGTGGTGCAGCGCGTACGAGTCGAGGAACAGAACGAAGCAGGAGGACATCAGTCGCTGTGGCACAAATGTAGGCAGTGTCTGCATGCTACCAGGCTGCACCAAAAACATTCAAATTCGCTCCATTTTTATACAATTTTCTTTGCAGTAAAGCTGCATTTTTTTAATTCTAAGCTACTCTTTTTTTTAAAGAATTAGTCTTGAATCAAACTCAAACCTTTTTGGATCAAATAGGTCATAAAAGCAAGTATCTACACTTTTATATAATATACAAAATCTTGATTCATACATAACTTTTTTTCGCGTACACTATTTTTCAAAAATTTTTGTTCATGGTTTTGGTATAATTCATACCTTTTTCTTGCGTGACCTTGCTTCTATCGATACAGGATTTGTACCGTAGAAGTTCAGCTCAGTGGCCACTAAGTCATCAATTTTGCCTTCACTTTTCAACCTCAAGTACTGCTCCTTAAAGTGTGTGATTAATTGGTTCGCCCAAGTGTTACGAGCCTCAAACAGATCTGAATAGTTCTCCCAGTGATAGAAAGTCTGACCTAAAAACGAACATTTTAGCCAATTAAAAAATCTTTCATATAAATAACACTTCGAAATGAGACCTGCCATTTTCGGTTAATAAGATTTGAAATACAAACAATTAACGGTTTTCCTCCATTTTTATTACTAATACCTACACCGCTTGAACTAGTTCCAAATAACATGATGAATATGACTGTTGTCAATTGACGGGAGGGAAATTGCAAAGCAGTGGTTTACAGAGAGATCACAGTTTTTATTAGTCGATATCAGCAGAAGATTTTTAGTCATCACACTGTGACTGAATAATGGTTCCAAGTTTCAAATGGACAGAGTACTCACTTAGAGGACAAATTTCTTGGACAGAATTAGCTAGAAAACGAACATGAGTTTGTAATTTAAAGGACTAAATTTTCTCGATGAGAATTATTTTTCTCGGTGAGAAAAAACCGAGATTAAATGTTTTCATTACCACCATTTAGAATAGCATGGATTCTTGTCAAATGAAAAAAGCTTCAAGTCGTGACTTCATTTTGCTTAACTTGAAAGTCGACATATCGAGAGAAAATGGCTACCAAAAAGTTTTTGTATGTCTGCAAGTGCATGTGAGCACTACTTCACGTGAAACTTGATCTTACCAACAAGATGATAGGGATAGTGGTCAAAACATAGATTCCTCAAGGATAACTGCAGAGCACCTCCTTCAAGTCGCAGTGGCACACTATCTGAAAAGAATAGTTTAATAACTTGACTTAAGAAAATTAACGCAACGGGGGGACGGCTTAATACTCTAATCAATCTAAAAAATTTTTCAATCAAATACGTTCTTAGTATCGAGTTTTACTTTAAATTATTCTTTTTATCAAACACATCTCAATGTGTTTCACAGGATGGCATTCCTAAACGTGAAATATATTCGTTTCTACTATTGTGTTCATGCCTACTGACAGTCTCACAATAAGCGTACTAACTTGCTCGTTTGGAATTGTCTTCGACCAGATGCAGATCTATTCTGCGGCAGACTAAGTGGTATGAGGTCTCGTGGATGTCATTCAAGTCAAACAGTTTACACATCTTGATTTCCGTGTCGTTCTTCGGAAGCCGAAAGGAAGTCGCTGATGTGTAGTTCGAACCCCCGCCATGACTGTTTGCCGATGCAACCTTCATGTGCTCTTGTTCTGAACTTGTAGCACCGCCTGAATTGAGCTGACTGGCTTTGTGCGCCTTCATGATTAAGGGTTTCAACATATTGATGTATGACACAACAGCTTTGATCTGAGAGTCGTTCAGCACCCAAAGGAGGTCTTCAATGATGAACTTGACTTTGGACGCCACAAACCCACAGTCGTTCAGACGTTTCTTTATTGCCACTTGAACTTCAGAATTATTGCTGAAAACACATCACCGTACATTCAAAAGCTCACACCTCTATTTCTTTAAGTTCAGTCAGCATTTCACCTTAACAACGCTAAGAACATTCTGAGGAAATGGAATGGCATCTATTCACTGCATCCAAAAAAGCATAAGACATATTTTTGTGTACATGTACCTAATAAGTAGTATGGGAGCATCGTGAGCATCTAGAGCATTCAGGGCTATCCGGATCACGCCGAGCTGAATTCTTTTGAAGATGATGACCTGGTCACGTGTCTCGTCCTTCACCCTGGTCTTTCTTAAATCTTCTGTTCGATCCCAGCTGGGAGAGACACTTTCGACGCCTATCTGAGATAACTGAAGAAAAAACACATTTCAAGAATCAGAATCTTGCATATCAATTTCATCTCCAGGGACATTCGCACATAGATATGATGTCATCTTAATAGATTCAAAAACTGATATCTTACTATTCATTACCTCTATCAAAATCCGTGATGTGATTACAAATCTCTCTGAAGATTTTTCAATACACTTAATACTGTACAGAACAAAAAATGTTTTTTTTTTTCAAATTCAAGTATGACAAATGAAGAATAAAAATTTTTGTAATGGACTCACGTCGATGTCAGCTGAGAAAGCGTACGACTTGAATGATATCAGCACAGACGATACGTGGACATAAATCCCGTCCACCACTCTTTCCACAAAACCATACTTGGCGCTCTCACCTCCCGCTGCGCCTGCCCCCACGTTAGACCCAGAACTACTCCCCCTTCTCAAATCCTCGCAGGTCTCCATGTCAACACTCACGCAGTCCAAGTAGATGCCAATTGGTTTTGATTTCAGCGACGTCCAAGGGATCTTGATCGTGAGCCGGTTGCATTTGGCGGATTTGATATTGAGCCAAGTTGGCAACTCAAGCAAGCCCATTAAAACTTGTTCATCCAGTTCAAGACCATTCAGCTCGCCTTCACCTCTGTAAGCGCTGATGTTGATTTTGGCGGGGTCCACATTTTTGGCGAATCGGGTCAGATGTTTCAGAAGTTCGCGCTTCACAAATGACGTCATTTTGATTACTCAGAACCCGAAAAAGGTTTGCAGCTTAGCTTAACTTGCGGATAAGCACGATAATTTATCGCTATATTTCCATTTTTTCTACAACGTTACTTTTCGCCGGCCATTAGCTTATCTGAAAAGTATGATTCAATTTTCAGGGATCAGCTGAAGATAGTTCCGAATACCTCGCATAGCTGGAATGTTCTAATAACTGTTTTCAATGGCTTCTTATTGAAGTTACCCAAAGATTATCTGATTTTTTTTATATACCAGGTCACACAACTCGAAAGTTTCATCGGAGTATCTTTTACTCCTCAATGAAGACAAGTGTTGTCATTTTTCACCCTGGCGATGTTAACAGCGCATGCATGTGCTTCTCATCAAATAGAAAATACCCCAATAATTCTACAAATGAATGCATGTTTTCTTTATCTGAAATCGTAATGGTATTACGCCATTCACACTATGTGGGTTTTGAAGTTGTCCTGTTTTCTTACCACTTTACAACCCAAAATACAATGAGGGATAGTGAGAACTTGAACATGAAACAATTTCTACAATTGAACATTTTGTTCTCAGATCACAGTGAACTACCAGTGTCTATTTACGAATGAACTCTTACTTTGTCGATGGCGCAGCGATTTGCGCATTCACACTACGATCCTAGTACGAATTACAGCTGCAATGATTAATGCCTAATTTAAATAAAGGGTTTTTCTAAAAGTGTATAACAGGAACAATAACAGCCGTTCCTGTGCAAGTAGCAGCACAAAATCTTCCCACCACAAAAAAAATCGACAAATCGAATTTCTGAATTATCACAGTTTCAAAAAACTTTTTTTTCAAACTGAGCAAATCTGCAGCCAAAAATAGTTGATCATGCATGTACCGCTTTGAAGCAGAATCATAAAGTATTTGTTTAAATATTTTCATTTAAAAAAACACTGAATCTTTAAGTATTCAATGTTCCGCGGAAAAATCCTTTAAAGCGCCATAAGCACTTTTAAGGCGTGCGTAATTTGCCTTTCATTGGTTGAAAGAATGAGAATATGACGCTAAAAAAACATAGCCAACAGACAGTTGGAAAATTCAATGAACGCAATTAAACAAAAAAATACCGCCCTGTTTTATGTAAAAATCGCAACTTCCAAATTTCGAAAAAAAGATGTCCTTAAAGCTCGTTAAATTTCTAGAAAAAAAACTGTTAATTTCCAATAAAGTTAAGGTATACTCAAAATTGAATTTCTAGAACAATTCATGATTGGCACTTTTTCGATGCAGATGACCCAATTTGAAATTTGAAGTCAATCACGTTTTTCGTGACCTTTACACTTTTGCTGTTCGATTGTGGAGTTCGCCTTCTTTTAACAAAGGCAATGCATTGAACTTAAAATGAAAATCAAAAGTCACACCGCGAACAAGTGAACTTTCCTGGAGAAAAAAAAACAAAAAAAAAACAGCGAATATATAGGAAACTGAACTACGTTTATCGACTGTTAATCGCAACTGCCAAAAAACTGACGCTGACCAATTTTTTACTGAAAAGCAATAAACACTATTTTGAATAAATTTTATAAGTGAAACTAATTCGTTCATTTACTTTTTTTTAAATGTTGAAAATAGAGAAATAATATAAGCGCAAGAGCAAAAACTAGGTGTCAACACAAAATCAACACTTTCATATCAACACATGTCGAAAAATACAATGCTAGCAGCTAGCAAGCATTTAAGCAAAATTTTGGAATCGGTAATCAGAAAACTTGGGTAAGACACCCGTCCAGCCGTAAAAAAGTTCCATAAAAAATGGGTGGAACAATTAGCGCAAGTTTTGTGCTAAAAAAATTTCACACCGAGGCGATGCTAAGCTTCGCACCACTTGCAAAACAAAAAAAAGCCAAAAATCAAAAGATAACGTGTCTCAAACAAAAAGTGAACATAGCGGACACAGCACTAACAAAAAAAAGTCGAATAAAAGAATGAACAAAACCAGGTTTACCAAAATTTATATTTTCGTGTCTTGATAAAAAATAATTCTCGACTAACACGCCAGACATTTGTACATTGAACTAGCAACGAAACAAAACCTACGACGAGGATACATAGCCAACAACTTTGAGCAGATACAAGTTCATCGAGCAGAAAGAAAAAAAACAGATAATATAAAATAAGTCCCTCCTGAAATTACAATGAACAACACTTGCACTCATAACTACAATGAAAGTTGCTTACAGCACAAGAAAAATCCGCGATGTGACAACTAAGCCGACAAAACTTGAGCAGACAGACGAGTCCGACGATTCAATTTTAACTGCAAAAAAACAAGGTACGACAGGGACTCCAACCCTAACTCTTAGGGTTAAAGGCGACTTCGTTACCTCTAGGCTTAGCGTGAAGGAATCTGTAAGTTGTTAAGGTTCAAGAAAAGGCAAGTTGAAATTTTTCAACAACAGTTGTTTACGGGAAAAAAAGGCTAGTTCCCGATTACAAGAAATTTGCTATCACAAAAGTAAAAACTCATATGAACTCTGTTTTAAAAATCGCAGGCTGCAAAGTTCAGAAACAATTTGCAATTGTTATAAAAATCTACTACCTGAAACATAAGAACGATTCGGGCTCCGCAAATTACATTCTAATAAGACATAAGAAAAAAAACGCTCAGAAAAAGACTTTGATAGAAAAATCGAGATCCAAAATTCCTAAATGGATTCTAAAAACTTGCTTAAAATCTTGTAACCAAATAACCTGCATCACCTGAAAGAATAATTGCATAAAAACATCAGCAGGAACATTTGCTATCAACTAAGATCAAAATGAGAGAAAAGAATCGAATAAATTTTTAAAATGAATGATTTATTTTCAAACTATTTGCTTCAAAAAGAACTGAAAAAAAATAGTCATAATATTCATTGAAAAAAAAAACCATTCAAATCAAACTTATGAAACCTTTGTAGACAAAACACCCAGTCAAATTTTTTTGGAATATTAAAAACAATACGCTATTCCATCATCCTGAATTGCTTTTAAAATAAAGTTGCTCAAACCTAAGACATACTAATAAATAAAAACTGAAACTAATTCCATGCACTTTTTGACAAAAGATTAATCGCATTTTTTTTTAATTTCAAAAAATTTTCTTTTCTAACAGTAAGTTTTGGCGTGTATAAAACCAGGAAACTGTTAAGTATATTTACTTTATTGAAAATTAGACAAATATAATTCAAAACTCTACGAAAGTTGCAGAAATGAAAACACCCGGCCAGTAAGCCAACAAAAATTGGGACAAAAATAAGAAGCCGACAAAAAATCATTTTATATGAAATTTCAGTAGCTCTTAAACGTACAACTTGGCTGGAAAGGTAAACCTTAAAATTTGAGATAGTGTGAACAAAGTTAATCATGAGAAAAAATCCAATTGCAATTAAATTGCTTATCGCAAAGTTGAAGATTCACATAGCCTCCTCTTCAGCACAGACATTCAATTAAAGTTAAAATTGCTATTCAAAATTATATAAAAAGTCATACTTTGAAGAAATTCCATGCATTGGACGTAAATGAAACAAAAAGGTTTTGAAGTTAATTATTTGAAAATTGAGTAGACAAAAAATAAGCAGATAAACACTAGTCCGACATTTCTATACATGCTGAAAAAACAAGGTACAACCGGTACCCGATTTCCAGCTCGACTTTTTAGATTTGTAGGAAAACTTACGGGAAAAAAGTCTATTTCCCGATTACAAGACATTTGCTGTCGCAAGCATAAGTACACCCTTTCAAATGACACAATTTGTGGCGACCAAAATCTGCAACAGTTAAAACAAAAAAAAGATCAAAACATCAAGGTCTGAGTTGGTTTATAACTAACATACACACAAAACTCTAAATAAAGCAAACCAAAAATGATCAGAATGGAGTAATTCGAACTCATTTCTGAGAAAAGATTACAACTCATGGCAATGCCAATTTTAAACATGGCAACATGCAGTGGGAAAACAGTCAATGAATACATGCAAACAGAAAAAAATACTGACTTGTTTTTGAAAAAATTTTGATTTTCGAAGAAAACAAAGATGGCCTTAAAACTCTTTGCGTTTCAAGAACAAGTTTTGTTTGATAATTTTTGGATAAAATTAACGCAATTTGAGAAAAATGGATCAGCAGGAAAAATTTATATTTATCAGGGAAATCTGATAATCAAAGTCTGTTTTTAAGATATGAAGTCGTGACATTTACACTTTACGTTTTTCGTGACCTTTACACTTTCGCTGTTCGATAGTCGAGTTTGCTTTCCTTCTAACAAAGGAAATGAACTGAACATTAAAAAATCAAAAGTCAAACCGCGAAAAAGCAAATTTCAGCCTTAACAAATTTTAAGACCTTTCCTGAAAAAAAAAATGAAAAAATCACCGTGACCTATATAACTATACGCATATTTATTTTACTACACAGTGAAAAGATATCACATCTTACAACAGGTCACTTATAATTTTGATGCTGTTGCTCGCATGAGTTATGGTTCGGGTAGCAGACTATCTATTCATACAAATTACGTTTAGAGTCAAAAGCAACTTTTTGAGTACATTTTTAACGCTATAAAAATCCTTTTGCTTTAGAATATTTTTACTGTGTATGCATTTTATTCTTGAAGAAACGGAGAATCCATTAAAAAAAAGAGGTACCGGGTAACTGAAAACTAATGTAGACCAACCAGAAATGCGTACTGAAAATCTCAAAAAGCGAATAAATCTGTGGCTTTTAAATTCGAAGTCGACACAGTTACCATCTTGCCAATCTAGAAATACGAATTGTTTACGAGAGCGCGTTTGCGAGAAGCGCTCCGTCACTTTTTTTTATTAGTTGGTCCCAACACTATGGAAAAAAATCCATCAAAGTTCCGTTTTTGTACACTCATTGAAACTTTTCATTAAAAATTACCATTATCATGTCCAAAATGCCTACATATTGGCATCAAAGACGCCAAAGGATAAATCATACAAATGAAAAACCAAAAAAAAGATGCATCAAAATAGTAGTAGACGGAGCATACGATAATACATATTTCGTAAACAGTGCTGATTTAAATTATCCGGACAAAACGAACAAAACTTTAATTTTCAAACGCCTTTTTCTCAAATTGGGTTAAGACTAGACAAAAAGTGGAGGGAACAAAAATTGTTTAGAATTTCATCAGAATTAATATGGTGCAATTTTTTCTCCGAAATTCTCAACCAAAATTTTACCCCAAAAATGGGTCATTATTTCTTTTTTCAATGAATCAAAAATTACGCTGAAACTATTTTGTTAATTGATAAGAAAACTGTATCACAAAAAGCCTCTTACACAGCCCAGCAAAGTTTTTGTGATATAGTTTTCTTATCAATTAACAAAATAGTTTCAGCGTAATTTTTGATTATTTGAAAAAAGCCAAAATGACCCATTTTTGGGGTAAAATTTTGGTTGAGAATTTCGGAGAAAAAATTGCACCATATTAATTCTGATGAAATTCTAAGCAACTTTTGTTCTCTTCACTTTTTGTCTAATCTTAACCCAATTTGAGAAGAAGGCGTTTGAAAATTCAAGTTTTGTTCGTTTTGTCGGGATAATTTAAATCAGCACTGTAAACTCCTTGAAAACAAATTTCAATAGGAGCAAACTTAAGCGTTAACTAAAATTTCCTGAGAGGCAAAAAAAAATTGCCTAGAAAGACTTTCGCACCTCGGTAGAAATTTGTTCTAAGAAAATGATTGAAACACTATTTTTCAATCGCGTCAGTAAGAAAGTTTTAGAGACGCTTCTGAAAGAACTGAAATTTTTTTTCACAATTTCACATTAAGAGGTTTCCCTTTAGCTCGCTCTTTGCTTATTTGCTTAGCAGAAAACTCTACTGATCCTTCAGTTTTCGATATGCTTAGATCGACTTCCTTTCCTTTCTTTGTCCTCTTTTCTAATATATACGCACGATGAACAAATTTTTGGGTCTGAAAAAATTATTTACAAAAGCGAAGGTGTCCAAAACAAACTCAAATGCAGGTGTATGTTAATTAGTTAGATTTAATTAATTAACGAACTATATTAATTCAAAACGACGCCACTTTAATTTACACCTTTAACTAAGTGGGCAAATGAAAGAGTCCAGAGGATGGAAATTGTACCATTTCTTGGGTTCGTAGAAGTCTTCCAATTTATCTGATAAACTTTCGAATTTTTACAAGAGGAAGACCTCTAACAAGATATGAGAACTTCACGCATGTTCCACATCGTTTAGTAACCGGTGCAAAAATAAACGGCACTTCTTTTTTCGCTATTCTGACAATTGCCAGTTTTTAGTTTGAGGATAAAAATTTTCAACAGGATATTTAGTTCCGACTCTTTTTGCCATAAAAGTGAGACATTTGGACCATATTTATTTGCAGAAGCAACGAGGTGCATTATGCAGACAGCAACAGAATGAATTTAATTGCATTTTTTAAATTTAAGTAAAGCAATCTGAGATTCCTAACGAAACATTTACATCCGGTTGATAGCTTCCCATGTGTTTGAAAACCCATTAAAAAAGAAGTGACTCATTAAGAAGGCTTTTTTAAGATGGACTTGAACATCGATTTGGAATCCCAGATCAGTTTCAATTTGTAGCTTAGACGTGGTTGAGAATAGAATCAATTGCTCTTCTCTTGGTTATTATTCTCGGCACAATTAAAACCCGGAGCATCAATGATTCAAATCAATAGACCGTACCTCGGTAAAATTTCAGACTTAATAACTTCAAAAACTGTTTTTGATACAATTACTGTGATTCTGAATATAACGGAACCATTTTTTGTATGTTTTTTGTGAGAAATGTAATTTTGAGTGAGGTGAAAAAACAGTCAGATGATATCTTGGATCATAACAAGCAGAAAAAAACACGTCTTTTTGAGTCGCGCAAAGCACAAATGGAATTTTCGATCTAACAAGCATCAATTTTGCTCACCTTTCATTAAACAACTTGCTGCCGCCGATAAATATCAACATTTTAAACAACGGCAAATTTGTACAGCACCATTTGACTGAAGTAAGTCTATCAAATAACATACAAGAGATGCCAAGGTAACTTAGGTAATAGCAGTGGTAGATTCATACACATCTACTAAGAGCATGATCTAATTTTGAGCAACTGATAAAACGATAAACGTATTTTGGTAAACTTGAACTTGACGAATGGAAAAGGCAAAGAAAAAAAAACAAACCAGAAAGAGTGAATATCTATGGATTTGATGAATACAAATTGAAGAGTCAAGAATTGAATTGTGTTATTATTTTATGCTTGGCGGGCAATCGTTATGGTACAACGACAAAAACATCTCCTCTCAAACGTAAGGAAGACTTTGTTTTCAAGTTAATCAAGTTAAGTTAAACATTCCACATAGCACTGTATAGTTAGCCTCGCGTTTCGCAATCCCATAAAAAGTTGACCAAATTCTATTAAAAGTATCTACTACACAGCTCCGTAAATCTACTAAATAACAAATGTATTGCGCTAAAGTAATTTCACAATTGGCGTCACAAGAAAAGTGCGATGCCGCTCAAAACACAGCCGTCAGATGAGGTAACTACTTGGGCGCCCGCCATGGGCTCCAGCAATAATGAACAACAGGGGAAAGTCGATGATGCAACTAATTACATCTTACAAATCAAACACCAGTTTAAGCACTTCGGGCCAATGTTGCGTATTTACTAATGAATTAGATGTAATAAAACTGTTGTAAGAGTGATTTGCTGCTATCATTTATAACCAGCAGTGATGTTGTTTCTTCCCAAATTGGATTTAGATCGGTTGGCTGATATCTGCTGTTAAGGATAAACCATATGGTAATGAGAGTGGGCGTGTAAGAGTCATTAATTCAATCAAATCCATTCAATCTTTGGGTGGTGCCTCAGTACTTCTAGTAGCATCATCTGTACTCTTCTGGTGGTAATAATCATATATGTGTTGTAATGTACTTGGTCTGTTACTGTTGCAGCCATGGATGTGTGAGACATTCCTCGGCTGTGGCCCGACTGGTGGGGTCAAGGGCAAGCATGGGCAACAGGAAGGACGTGAAGGAGACCGCCTCCTCTTCCGGCCATTTGTACTTCTCTCTCAGTACACTGTACAGTGGCCACATTCTCAGGTCTTGGATGTGTAACAAACAACCTGAACAAGTTAGCACGTTTAAATCATCGCATGAACAGTATGGTATGACGCGTTAGTATTGACACACGCAATGGGGCTACTGAAAGATGGTGTGTTATCAAGTATGCAATGAACAACCAAGTACAATGAAGTATGAACCAATGAACAATGAAGTATACAAGGAACAACGAAAAGTCTATATAAATTTCAATATCTCCCAACTATTCTTTTTTTCATTAACTTTTTTCAATATAATCTTTAGGCTTTTATTATAGTTATTGACGCAATGACGTAGTTTAAATTGAAACAAATGATAAATTATTCATCCCAAGGGCTATTTTAGGCCTGCTCTTGACATGACTTTTAATGCTTCGCGGAACCAAACAGAAATAATTGGTTCAAATTTGCCTTTTCTCCCCAACTAGTACCGTCCATGCTCTCATTTCCTAAGGTTCATCTCACTCATTTAAAAAAACCTCCTATCGTGCTATGTTTTATTTCCTTATCAGATGTTTTCTGTTTCCAAAAAAGGCGTAGCCAGTGAACACATTACGACCTTCAGGCCTTTTAATAAGTTCCAAATAGGTTACAACAATACACCATAAAAAAGCTACCAATAAACACATTTTTTCACAAGCCTATAAAAATATGGATGCAATATTTTCATGTCTAAGTGACTAAGCGATTAAGGCGGCCATTTGCTGTAAAAATTGAGCGTTCGTTTAAGGCCCACAGGATGAATCTTATGTTAGGCATTTACATCTTTCAAATTACAAAAGGCGGCAGCTACAGACCATAAAATTTAGGAATATGAGATTATATTTTGCTTTTCCCAGCTTTCCATAATGTTTTAAATCAACAGTTCCCTCAAAATAAGTCAAAATGGTTATCAAAAGCAGTGCGCTTAAGACAATGGAACACTTACCGTGGCGGTCGAAGAACTCGCTGCTGTAGGCACCGGCTTGAATTAGTGTAGGCGGGATGTCTCCCAATAATTCGATAATATGCGCAATATGATCTAAACAAGGCAAAAAGTTATCAAACTAGTCTATTTCTTCAGGGCAATTACCAGTCCATATATTGAAAAATTTCTACCACAAAAAGTTACAGGTTACATTTTACTTTGATGATCTATAGATTTCTAATTCATAAAAATATCATTGAAATCAAAATCTTTGATAATTTTCTAATCATACACAGAAGCGAAGCTGCGCACCACGTGCGATATAATACATATTTAACAAGGCAAACTGGCCGACAGAAAATGAGACGAAAGCCGCTAAGTCGGAAAGAAATTCGTGAAATAAATGTCGAAAAAAAACTTAGGACTACCAAAGTTCGAGACGGTTAGTTCGATTCGTTTTGCATAGAGTTGATTTAAAGAAACACATACCAGTTAACAAAATTTCGTGTTAAATTAGCATCGGAAAAAACTAAGGACGCGTTAACAAAGCCAAAACATTTGAGTTAAATACCCGCTTCAAAACACACCCATTCGATTATTTTTGCTCATCAAACGAGGCAATATGAGGCCACTAAAACGAATTACATTTCTTCAAGAGAGAATTACATTTCTTCAAGAGAGCTTCAAAAGGTTTCGATTAATGTTAAATCGGTTTATTGGCCACATATTGCGATTAAATAGAACAAGTTAACAGAAGAAAACTGAAAAATCCTACAGGAGACCAAAAAATCGGGTTGAGCTCTTTTGAACATTTTTCGAATTCGAAGAAAAAATACGTTGTGCCAATGCTATCCGATATTCGAGAATCTTTTATGTTTGACGGTCGGTCTATTATTCCAATAGTCATTCACGTTTTTTGAGCAAATTGCATTTTGTTGTTGGAGAGCTTCATTAGCCTTACATTTAGCTTTTAGATTTTGAATTGAACTTATAAAGAAATCAAAGGACACAAAAACTTTTTCCTTAAATGCGAGCCTCCACTTCGTTCGATGACTATTAAAAAAAACTTAAATGATGCCCAATAGGAGTTGATATTTTCACAAAGTCAAACACAAAGTTCGACGCAGAGGCTAAGCTGTATTCCGCAAACTAAAGGAAGAAAACGGTATTAAACAGGTCGAAAAGGCTAAAAGAATAAGGAAAGAAAAGCGAAAATAGATCTTGGAAAATGAAAAATTTCTATGAGCAGACGGAATCAAAGCACATATCGAGAGACTACGTGTCTCACGTCCTACCACCTGTGTCATTGGCTTTTTAGATATTAAAATACTAGCCACTAACAAGCGGATTTCGAAACATGAAATAAATGTTATATAGCGAATGCGAACACTTTTAGTGCTTCCTTTTCACGACTTGGGTTAGAAAAGAGTGGGTTCTTAGTATAAGACAACGCTCGATAGCTTACTTAAATAAATGTAACGGGTACTCAGTGATGTCCATTTAAACAAATAAAAATTTAAATTAAAATTGTTTAAGAACAGGATTAAACTTGTTGACATCAATTTGAATTCTTCCGAAACTATTTAAATTTTTCTGAAGAAACCTAAATTTTTCGTCAGTCAGTTTTTTAGCAGTTTTTCTCCAAAACAATTTATAGGGCATAACTATTAGAGGCTTTTGAATTGAAGAAATACCTGTTTGATAATTTTGTATCAATGCCGAAGGACAAGGGTAATTTCAAAAACAGACCTATAGCAAAGAAAAGTAAATCCCAAGATAATGACTTCAAAGTCTGTTAATTTCATCAATTACTTCAGTTTTCCTAAAAATTTAAGTGATTACAAGAGCTTGTTAGGTTGAAAGATGCTTAAAAATTTGCTCATTAGATTTGGGTGGGTAGTTTTCGAGAGAAGTCAAAAAGTTTCAAAAAACGGTAAAAAAAATCGAGAATTTGACTGTTCCTTAGGGTCATAACTTTTTGTGTAAAAAAATTGGGCTTAACCGTTCATAAAGTGGAGCTTCCCACAACCCGTTCTTCACAGAGAAACCAAAATCTCTGATTCGGGAGGGTAGTTTTTGAGAAAAGTCAGAAGTTTCAAAAACAGTCAAAAATTCGACTTTTCCGAGGGTCATAACTTTGTGCGTAAAAAATTTGGGCATAACCGCTTATGCAGGCAAAACTTCCACAACCCATTCTACTCATTGAAATCAAAACCTCAGATTGGTGAGGGTAGTTTTCGAGAAAAGTCTTAGAGTTTCAGAAAGGTGAAAAAAATTTTCCTATACATTTTCATATAATACCTGTTTTAATCAAATTTGTCGTGAAAATTAAGATTGTTTGCTTTTTCAGCGGAACTGTGAAATTAAATGATGAGTAAACTCTGTAATTTGGCGTCGGATCGAATACCGCCTGAGCAAATTAAACTTTTTTCAACTTAAATTGCTCGATTCAAAATAAAATTGAATTTAAATTTAAAATTTTTCATTTAAATTGAGTGGGCTCGTAATTTCACAATTGAATAAATTGAAATTTAAATTTTTTTAAATGAACATCACTGCGGGTACTTAAATGGTAGACAAATACTCAAACTAGATGGTTTAGAAAATTTCGAGATAATGATTCAGGCTGGCTAGACAAGTAGATTAACCTGGGAAAAACTTGATAACGTTTGCTAATAGCAAGCATAAAGAGCGTTCTTAAGAAATGTCAATTGCTTTCAAATTGGATGACAATTGCTCAATGTTTTGAAGCATCAGTTGTATCGCCGACTGAGCGGAGGAAGTAATAAATACCTTCGTCCCTGGAGTACTTTCCCTCACACGAGTGTGGTTCAAAGAGGAAGTCCCCGGTGGCCAGCTCGAAAGCCATGCAGGCCGTGGACCAGATGTCGGCAGATGTGTCGTAGCCAGCCCCGACCAGCACCTCCACTGAGCGATACTGTCTCGTCTGAATGTCTTCTGTGTAATGGTGGTGCTAAACAACCTCTAACTGTTCATAACTTGTCTCGCTAGATATGATCGGGCATGGCTTTAAAACCGTGTTGGTTCTTCCAAGTCAAACAAATTGCATGCTTTATGTCACACTTTCAGTACATTGCAGAAGGCCTGCAATTTCTCGCCACAAAAATGCTCGGATTTTGCTTATAAAAATCAGATTTCATATTTAACTACCAAATTTTACATCACCGTTTCCAATACTGGATTTCAAAACACGGGTTACTTTATTCATGTAAATAATACTCACCACCCAGCATGAGTTGCCTAAATCCGCTATTTTTACATTGAGTTTGTTCAAATCGTACATGAGATCCGTTCGCGGACAGACTACAACCATATTAGGATCATAGTCAGCTTGTGCTTGTATTTCTGACATGGTTCTGTCCCTTCGTCTGGCGTCGTTCGAAAGCGATCTATCACTGCATGATTCGATACTTGAGCTCCCGTTTATTCCATTGCAATTGGCCGCCGACCCGTTAGTTGCTTTTCCCACCACCTTCCCACTTGTAGAAGAAGCCGTGTTTAGGCTGTCTGATGACTCCGCTACTGAAAACGAGACAAAATTAATGCCACTCAAAGCAACCACATCATCAGCAATTGTGTTCAATATATTTTCCTAAATAGCGAGTTTTCGTTAATTAGTCATTAACTTTTTTAGAGACTTGATAATCTGTTTAGAACCAAAACCTACTTCTTTCTTCAGGTATCGATAATTGACTTTTTAGAGTCTGCTGGTCTACAGTATTATCATCTTCAGTTTCATCCTCATCTTCGTCATCTTCATCGTCTCCATCTTGGCTCAGAATGCTATCTCGGTTCATCAATGGTGCGATCTTTGTCTTCAGGGCGCCATCCTTAGAAGCATCATCCGATTTATCTTGTGTAGTGTTTTCTCCATTTATATTATCAGTTGGGGCTTTCGAGTCTCCTCCCGAAGTAAGACTCTGCTTTTCAAGTTCGTGTTCCAGTTCCTGAAGTTCATCCAACATATCCAGCTCTTGCAGTTGCTTCTGTTGGAGATCAAACAGTTCTTGTATACGTTTTGCCTTCTTCTTGGCTCGCTTTTTCTGATTTTTGGTCATCTTCGAATTTATTTCCGTCACTGCTTTGCGGTCATTTTTAGCCGTTGACACAGCTGAATTGCTTGGTTTTGATCCCTAAAATAATCCTTCAGCTGGAACATCGTTGATACAATTTGTCAAACCACAATCGATTATACAAATAAATTGAGGCTCAATATAAACAAACTCTGCACAGAGGGAAAGTGATGCTACGCACTACGTGTTGTCTGTAAAAAATGAATATAAAAAACTGAACAAACTTGACATAGTTAAAACTTTTTAAACACTTCGAAGTATTTTTTTAAAAAAAAATAGGCACAATCATTTCTCTAGTACCCCTTTTAATTCATAAAAGCCCATTTGACAAACTCGAACCAGGCAAAGGAATCATTTGTGAAAAGCGAGAAGAATAACTTTTTCACCGATTTTTTGAAACATAGCCAACTGACAATTGGAAAAGAGAAATGCACGCAAGAAAACAGAAAAAAGAACTGAATTGTTTTTGAGAAACTTCAACTTTCGATTTTTAAAGAAAAAATGTAACGTTCATTGCTTTTAACGTTCATTGCTTTTCATGGCTAAGAGAACAAGCAATATAAAAGTTCAAATAATGTCCAAAAATCGTATATCAAAAGATTGGAAAAATCCCGCATAATTACATGAAAGCATTGTTTAAACCTTAAGCAGAGTCTTTGATGTGTCCACTAAGCCAACAAATAATGGCCTCACAAATTGTGTTTTAACCAATAAATTTCAACTATCAAAAACAGGTCCTGGCCGGCTTTGAACCCAGAGCCTCGGAGAGCCAAAAGCAGACGTCACCTCCTTGTGCAAACATGCACATCAGACCGTCAATTTCAATTGATTATGAACCAAGCTATCAAATGATTCAGTGACTCTGTTAGACAAGTTGTTTATTTGAAAATAAGTTCCGGTTTGATAACGCTTGCTAATTGGGGGCGTAATTATCAAAATAAAAGCAGCGAAGCTAGTGGCTGACCTGTTTCATCCACTCAGCCGTTTCCCTCGCAAGAGAGCGGACAAACTGCTGGTCTACAGTGATCAGGATGTTTTCTGGTTTGATGTCGGTGTGAATAATAGCACATTTGGCATGCAGATAGTGCAGTCCTTCCAGGGTTTGCTTGATAATGTGTTTCACCACAGGCACTGGCAATCCCTCATAGTGGGACTTGATTATGAACTTGAGCAGGTTGTGGCCCAGCACTTCGAACACCATACACACATGTTCACCGTTGGGTCCTCTGATTTTAAAATTGTCCACCAACGATACTACTCTGCTGCGGAACGAATCCTCCGGGTCTCCATCTCTCACCTAAGAATATCAGACCAAAAAAACAACATTCGCTGAATTTGTTATTCATTTTTTGTAACTCATTTTAATCATTTTTATTCTTTTACCGCGACAAGAAGAGATATTTCGTCGATTGCAGTTTCAGTGTAATGTGCCGCACTTTTTACAACTTTCAAAGCCACATATCTCCTCAACCTAAATTACGAGAAATAATTGTTAGATTGAACTTCAATATTCGGAACTTGTAATGAACAGATATATTTGTACTTGAGATCCCAGCTAAGCCATACAGTCGAAAAGTGGCCCCACCCTAGTTTTCTCACAACATGATAGCGATCATGAAAAAGGTCTCCGATCTTCACTGGATGGTACCCGCCCACGCAGTAATCAGAGGAATCTTCTTGCTCGTCATCATCTGACCCCAGTGGCTCTTCTTCATCGTCTTCGTCGTCATCATCTGGAAATTCTTCGTCTAGGCCATACGTAGTTTCTTCCGGAAGAGGAGGGGGAACCTCACTTGGTTCGGGCTGACTGCTTGTACCAGGCCCTGCAGAGGGCTTGGCTTTCTTTGGTTTAGATCTAAGAGCGACAGTTAAGTGGAGCTGAATAGGTACACCTTTTACGGAACCACTGTCAAGTAAAAAGTACTTACTTAGTCTTCTCCGCGGTCTTTGCTTTGTTAGGCTTTGGTGCTTTTGCTCTTTTCTTCTTTTTCACGGCTTGCACTGAAAAATTAAATTACGACAATGAGAAAAGCAAACAAATCATGATATCAAAATCATTGTACCACCTACCATGCCTTTGAGCTCGAGATGACATTTGTTCGCTTCAAGCGACTGACTGAAATCTTAAGTGGTTTAGCCAGAAGGACAAATTGAAGAAAAATTTCTCACTCTGAAAAAGTAAGCGAAACAACATAAAACGAAACAGGAAAAAATTTTTTTTTGAAAGACGATACGACTCTTAGAGCAAAGATAACCGACATCGAAAGAAAGCCTGTACCATGATGCTATAAATCCTATAATTAATCGAATTTACCGGATGTTTAAACGGTTACACAAAAACGACTAAAAACATAGAAACTAGGAGTAAGAAGGTAAGAAACACTAAGACTCGGGGTTTCTACTGTATCGTCAGTGGTAGTAGTCACGTTAATCTGAGAATTATATCATTAACTAATATCATTAATCTGAGAAAATTCTTTGCACTTTTATGTGAAAAAATACACAAAACCACCAATTATTGGCAGTGGGATGTAGCACCAAAATGGTTATCCCAGATACAATTTATCACCAACGATCTTGCCAATTGCAAATATCTTTAAGTGTACAAGCGCAAATCGTGCTGCAATTTTTTTAATTTTTCAAAATAATCATTGACTTCAAAATCCTTGTAGTTGAATAATCATTATTTCAAATTGTTTGTAGTAAACGAAAGGTACTAGGATTGGGCTCCAGTAATAAGCGGTGCGCCTCAAGGATTGATCCTAGGTGCAATAGTAGTAGTAGTAGTTAAAAAAACTTAGAGACTGTTCTCAAGTGTTCGCACCCATATTCAAGTTCATGGGTATATTTTTATCTTGTTTGTGATGTTAGTTTCCACATCTGCATATTATTCTCCATGTGAAAATGCTTTCCTCGAAGTAGTGTCTAATGAAGAAGTGCCAGTCGATTTTCCGCAAGGCATCTTTGTTAAGTTCGTGATACGTAGTTGAAAAGAAGTTTCGTTCGTCGGAAAAGTTGCCATCGGTTTTCATCAATCTTGATTTGTACAGCCTGTATTCTCCTTTTTTATTTGTCTGGTGTTTTCTAGCGAATCAATTTTATCTGAAGTTTCCTCTATATCATAGTCACCGTTTCTCATTGAAACTAGGAAAAGAAGATCATGCATCTCGACATACAGACTGAGTGGTAGTATTCCTAGTGAAAGGAGGCGGTTACGGTATTTGATGTTCGATCCTAATATCCATTTTGTTGCATAGTGTTGGACTTTTTCAAAGTCTTGGAGGTTTCCCATGTTTGGCCGCCACGCTTGAGATGCGTTTTTTGCCATCGGTACTAAGTTTTTGCCATCGGTACTACAGCAGGCCGACGTAGGTTTCTTTTAAATTGAAAGAGGCATTCTTTGTCTTTTTGGAACGTATCTGACAATTTTCAACCCAGTGTATGTTATGATGCACAGTGAGCCTTAGAGCCTGTTTGTATTCAACTGGTGTAACAGTCGTCACATATGAGGTTAAGAAAAATAGGCCCTATAACCATTGCCTCTACGGCGAGGGACACTACCTCTTGTGCTTTTGTACCTCAATCTGTTGGAGCCAATTCAGATCGCTTAAGACATGGACTACAAAATCGTGTTACAGCTTACAAGCCACTACCAAAATCCTCCACTCTAAAACTAAGAACGCCCTATGGCTAGACTTCTAAATAACTAAAACACGCGAACGACGTTAAAAACAGGATGAAACCCATGTATACTAGCGATTCTGGTGTTTTCTAGCGAATCAAATTTATCTGAAGTTTCCTCTATATCATAGTCAACGTTTCTCATTGAAAATAGGAAAAGAAGATCATGCATCTCGACATACAGACTGAGTGGAAGTATTCCTAGTGAAAGGAGGCAGTTACGGTATTTGATGTTCGATCCTAATATCCATTTTGTTGCATAGTGTTGTTCTTTTTCAAAGTATTGTAGGTTTCCCATGTTTGGCCGCCACGTTACGAACATGTGTAATAGATAATGGCTACCGCAGAAGTTTTCCATGACCGACCCTACCAAGGATTTTTCATTCATCGGCAGGCTATCGGCCTCAGTCACCGCGAAACCCATTTCTGCTTCCAAGCCGACCTTCAACCCCTAGACATGTTTCTGTATCAAAATTAGTTTGTGGATCACATTCAAGTGCCCCAGGACCTCATCTTTCCCTGGTGACAACCTTACTCGCTCCGTAATCTCCTCATTCAAACCTGCCTGCGGGTGCAGGCACCAAGAAGGTCTCGACAGCTTCCAGACTACTCCCATGTTTGTGAACAATACGTTGTCCTCGCCGCCTAACCTCAATTCCACTCTTTTCTTTGATCGTGGCACGCAGGCAGATATTCTCGGGTCCGTTCTATTGAAGCAAGCCCAAGCTCGGCTTATCCCTTTCCGTCGCGTCGTCTTCAATTATTTTTTCCGTCCAGAATTTCAGCAGTTCCATGACTTCAAAGTTCATGTAAGCAGCTCCTGCTTCTGTGCTCAAGAAGGGATTGATTTTTAATTTGTCTGGTGTTTTCTAGCGGATCAATTTTATCTGAAGTTTCCTCTATATCATAGTCACGGTTTCTCATTGAAAATAGGAAACGAAAATGATGCATCTCGACATACATACTGAGTGGTAGTATTCCTAGTGAAAGGAGGCGATTACGGTATTTGATGTTCGATCCTAATATCCATTTTGTCGCATACTGTGGGACTTTTTCAAAGTCTTGGAGGTTTCCCATGTTTGGCCGCCACGCTTGAGATGCGTTTTTTGCCATCGGTACTAAATTTTTTGCCATTGGTACTAAAGCAGGCCGACGTAGGTTTCTTTTAAATTGAAAGAGGCATTCTTTGTCTTTTTGGAAAGTATCTGACAATTTTCAACCCATTGAATGTTATGATGCACAGTGAGCCTTAGAGCCAGTTTGTATTCAACTGGTGTAACAGTCGTCACATATGAGATTAAGAAAAATAGGCCCTATAACCATTGGCTCAACGGCCAGGGACACTAACTCTTGTGCTTTTGTACCTCAATCTGTTGGAGCCAATTCAGATCGTTTAAGACATGGACTACAAAATCGTATTACAGCTTACAAGCCACTGCCAAAATCCTCCACTCTAAAAATAAGAATGCTCTATGGCTAGATTTCTAAATAACTAAAACACGCGAACGACGTTAAAAACAGGATGAAACCCATGTATACTAATTTTTTAAAAAGGACAGAAGACGTTTGATCCAATTCAGATAAATCAACTTGAAATCCGCCTTTTCTCAACAATCGAGAAACTAAATTTAGTAGTCACATATTGACATGACTCCAGAAATAAGTGAATATGTAAGTAAAGCAACTCTAGAACTTTTAGGGAACAATTAGTTTGGTAAGAAATTTAAAATGTTAATTTAAAGGTTTTCGCACATTTTGTGCATCATCAGGATTAAAATTTTTTTCCATATTTACAAAAAGATCAAAGATCTGAAAACTAGTTTTGACTCAAGAAGTTATGTTATCTGGACTATAGGGCAGCCTTACTTGTCGACCTGCCCAATCAACTTCTCTCTTGCCTGACGATGGCACTCTTGTAAGATTTCCCAAGGTTCTCTGTCGGGAATATGATAGCTCTACTCGAATTGATTATTTCCGTAAAATTGCGAATAGCAGTTTTTACTCTAACAAAGTTTGTGGTCATTTTTCCAGCAATTATGTCTCAATTTTTACAGACTTTTATTTCAATAAACTTAATCATGACATGGTCGCTTCGGGTTTTTCAAAAATTTCCGTTTCCCCCAAAATCAAGGTCAAACTTCAGAATACGACTGACTGGCGTATACTCCCCCGACTCAAGATCGATGTCCTCATCGCGCTTGGTCGTCATGTCAGTGAGCCTCCAGAAATTTGAGTGCCTCTCAAGATACAGTGCCAGTGATCGCTTACAGACGTTTGCAGCAGACTCAACCTTATCTAAATCCCCAAAATTCACAGCCATGTAAGACTGTCATTCTAAAGCTGAACATCGACCATAATCTTCATACAATTGTAACCTGGATTTCAGCTTCACAAACAATTTTTAATTTTTTTTTGTTTGTTTCAGTCGGAAAATATCATGCAATATTTTGATAAGTAAATAGCTATAGTGTGTTAGATAACAATAGTTTGTAGATGAAAACCAAGAAGGCACCAAGAAGGTCTCAACAGCTTCCAGACTACTCCCATGTTTGTGAACAATACGTTGTCCTCGCCGCCTAACCTCAGTTCCACTCTTTTCTTTGATCGTGGCACGCAGGCAGATATTCTCGGGTTCGTTCTATTGAAGCAAGCCCAAGCTCGGCTTATCCCTTTCCGTCGCGTCGTCTTCAATTATTTTTTCCGTCCAGAATTTCAGCAGTTCCATGACTTCAAAGTTCATGTAAGCAGCTCCTGCTTCTGTGCTCAAGAAGGGATTGTATGACATCCTCATAATGCCAGAAATCATAATGCTGATAATCTCCACGTTTCGAGGGCTTCGAATAATCCTCCGCCTTGATCATGGCACGATGTACGTCATGGCTACGGCAATATTTGCATGGTTCTCAAGAGATTGCCTGGAATCATCGTCTTTCTCAATCACAGCACTCTGGTTCACGTTTAGGATGATGCTCGAGACCATGTTCTCCAACGCCCTATTCTTCGTTGCATTCTGGTAGCAAGCTTGGATCACCGCGTCAGGTATCACTGACATGATCCATCTCAGGAAACAAGTGGCGCCCAATCTCCTCGCAAGACTTAAACCGGAGTCATCTCCAGCAACATCTTGCATCATCATCCGGTATACATGTGGTTCTCTGTCGGTCAACTTCAGCTTGTCACATGAGGACAGACCCTCCAACACAACTCCAGCCTGGCAACACGGAAACAAGATTTGACCCTCAGTTCTGGTGAAAGGATTTGTCATCAGAAGCTGTGCGGATGGAGGTGCCCTCATTTTTTTCTCAAAGTATTCCAGCAGTAATTTATCCCATGATCGCCCTAGTCGGCTCCTCAGCTCCTGTTTAATTATCTATGCCTTCTGCTGCGCGGCCCAATTTTGGCGCTTTCTGGACTTTCCGCGATCCAGCTTCTATCGACAAGTCTCTAACTCCTTCATCGTGCCCAGAGCTATCCACCAGGAACGAGCAGTG